AAACCCAATTCCTTTTTGGAGTTAATTTCTCATTTTTCCGAGTGATTTTTCCGATGGAGGTTGTCAAGAACTCAAGAATGGGGACTCCGATGAAAGATCCTCAAGGGTCTCAGTCAAGGAACAGGGAAATTTCTAAACCCTCTGAGAATTCGAACCCCAATGTATCCCGTTCAAGTCCTAGCCTGAAACCCTCAAAATCGCCGTTAAGCAAATCGGTGAAATCCCTAAAATCTGCTTCCAAGAATCAGGGTGCGAGTACGGCTCTTAACCCGGTTCTTTTTTCTCCGAGGAACAAGATCAGAGAGAGGAAGTTCGTGGTAGCCAAGAAGAATTCGAAGAAAGAGAAATCGGAGTCGAATACAGTACTTGATTGCAAGTGCAAGGAGAAATTTGGAGGCAACAACAAGAAGTGCGTTTGCGTTGCATATGAGACTTTGAGGGCATCGCAGGAGGAGTTCTTCAAGAATCGGGCTGGTCTCGAAGATGATGGCGGAGTGGACGATGGAAAGTCTTGTGACAGAGCTGAGAGTGGAGTTCAAGAAGAGGCGGAAAAGGGCTCTTCGATTCAGAATCCTGAGAGTCAAGGTTGTTATGGATCAAACAAACAAGACCCAGTTGGGGTCGAGTATTTGAACCAAAAGGATACTTCTACCCTTAAGAGAAGCAGGGACAAGTTGCTAGACGAAGTAAGGAATAGCGTGCCTTCGTTTGGGAAAGTGATGAATTTGGTTCAGGCGTTTGAGAAGCTGTTGTCAATACCAAATTCAAAGGAATCAGAGAAGAATGAGGAGGAGGCTGACGAGAATAATGCTGATACCAAGGAGAAGCCAGTGAAATGGACATTACCTGGAATGCAGACAGCAAAGGTACCTGACATGGAGACTAAGACACAGTTCTCATCTTCTTCATTCTGTGCATCAGATTTGGTCTTGACAGCAGAAAACCTCGGTTTAGATTCACGTTTCTCAGTGTCCTCTTCGTGGGATGGCAGCAAAGGAAGGTTAGTGCATCCATTGTTTGATTATTTTGATTCAGAATTCCACACACTATATTCACTCTCTCTTTGTTTTCTAATTTGGGGATTTTGTCATCCTCTTTGGCTTTGTAGTATATCTGGCAGGACTTCCAATGGTGGCCGGAGAAGCAGAAGAAATGTAGGTTTCTCTTATTCACTTCTACTTTGTTTCACTTTATTGTCTTGATTAGTATTTGGAAAGGTATAGTTTTAATTGTTCTTCCATGTTATGACATCGTGTATTTTTTTATGCTTTAAATTTAGAGTTCTGATTCTTGTGGGACAATGGGTGGAAGGAGATGGAAAAAGAAGCAGCCCAAAGTCACTAGCCAAAAACCATTTAAGCTAAGAACAGAGGTAGATATTGGTTGACATAAGTTACGGTTATGGATAGTGTCCTTTATTTCCTTTGACTCTTATCCTGTTTTTTGGTCATTGTTGTGAAACAATAGCAAAGAGGCAAAGTGAAGGAGGAAGAATTTGTGAAGAAGGTGCAAGAAACGATGATGGAAGAAGAGAAGCAGCGGATTCCAATCGCTCAAGGCCTCCCATGGACAACTGATGAACCAGAGGTGAGGGCATTTTTACTCATAATTCAAACTGAAACTTGAAAATATTCTTAACAGCTCCATCATTACTTTAGATTCTATTACTCATTTGTGCATGTAATCCAGATCCTGATTAAACCTCCTGTCAAAGAACACACAATGCCAATTGACCTGAAACTTCACAGTGACCTGCGTGCAGTGGAGCGGGCTGAGTTTGATCATCAGGTGCCTTTCCTAGCTTCTTCAATTATTTGGTACTTGGAGAACTAGACTTTTGATGTTTTGTATATGCTCCCCTGTTCACTTCACGCGTGAAGCATGGTAAAAAGGGTCAAGTAAGATGTTTTGCTGGCCACTGGCATTTGTGGTTGCTGCTGTCACTGTCTGTTGTTGCTCATTGTTTTCTGCTGGCTGATTTCTTGTTTATCCAGATTGGTTTTGACCATGTGCCATAATTTTGACTGATTTTGGAAAGTGAATTTCTTATTTATTATTTATGTGTTGCTTTGTGTGTTGTTGATGTTATGTTGATATCAGGTAGCTGAGAAGATGAGCCTGATAGAACAGTACAAGATGGAAAGAGAGAGGCAACAGAAGGTATTTTTGGGATGAAAAGGAATAATTTGAAAGTCGTCATATATCATTAGTATTGATTGATCATTTACTTATATTGATCTTTTGGTCTTGCAGTTAGCTGAAGAAGAAGAAATAAAAAGGCTAAGAAAGGAACTGGTCCCCAAAGCACAGCCCATGCCATACTTTGACAGACCCTTTATTCCCAGAAGGTCAAGATCCAAAGCCATCTGCTAAAAGAACACCCTCTTTCTAATTCTCTAAGCCTTTCCATGTAAGCTTGGTCCCTATTCAACACTGAAAGATCATATTTCTTTCCTGTGTTTTCGCTTTCTTTTAGGTCTATGAAGCTTCCTACAATACCTAGAGAACCAAAATTCCATATCCCGCAACATAAGAAGATGAAGTGCTGCCTTTCCTGGAATGATATTAGTTCTTATACTTTCCAACACCAAGGCAACGAAGCATGACAGGCGTATAATTCTTAGGGCATCGTGATATCTTCTTCTATTGTTTTCCAAATAATGTCAAATTGTCAATCCTTCTTTTTCTTCTTTGTTTCTGTTCATTGAAATTCTTTTGAATATTTGTAAATGGGCAACCATTTTAGTTGCAGTTTTGCTTAATAGAATGCAATTGGTTGGGGCTTGTTTATATGCATTAATTTTCCTTTGAGATGGGACTTCAATCTACTAAGCCTGATGAAAAACAAGAACACCACCCTCAAGCTCAGGCCTTGCTACTCAGGCAGTTCTAAAACTAGCCTCAGATTCAAGATTTGATTGGAAACCATGAAATGAAGGCATTTTCTCCGCCTGAATTACAAAGAGCAGAGCTTGCAAAAAGAACCTTGAGACAATTAACACTTCGATTTCAGTTGAATATTTGAAGAGATGTACCGTTCAAGTGCAGTTGTTTCTAATGTTTACCTATCTAAACAAATCAATATTTTGCATCATCCAACAAATCACCAAAAACTAAAAATCTTCGGAAACAAAGATAGAAACAAACAATTTTATCTTTAGACCAACTCAATGTCAAAACCAAATTTTCTTCATGTCCTACCAACTGACCAAATAGAAAGGTTACATTTTATCATAAAAAGGAGAAAATAAAAGTAGCAGCACGGTAGCAATGAGATATCAGACTTGATCAGGGAGCAACAACAATTCGCCCAGCAACTTGATCAAGATCCCTTTGTCCACTTGAGGTGATTCTTCTTCCCCTGATAAACAAAAGCACATAAAAAACAAGAATTATCCTACTATTCTAGTATCAAAATCAATGAATCAAAGAACATCAAGGAAGCATATTGCAGGCTAGATAATTATGCCATATTTACAATTACAAGCAGGTGAGCAACCTAATCAGCAGCTATCAAATAACATGGTGTATGTGAAATTACAAGCAGTAACGTGGGATCCCATGTTCAAACTCCCACTCCAGTAAGTAATCAGTAAACGAAAAGCAAATAAAAAACAGTGGCAATAGAACTCACCCCTTGCCATCAGCTATGGCAATAATGTTCATGTTCTCCAGCTGTTGAAGAATATGGCGTGCAATAGCACCACTGCTCTTGCAGAAATGGGGTGGACGACTACCATTTCTCTTACTTCCACCATAGATTCTTCTAAAGGCACCAACACCAAGACCTCCCCTCAAGTAAATCTTCCTCGCCATGGAGGCTGCATTCGGTATAACAAATAAATAAGTAATAAGAACCACCAAAATAATGCAGACTTCGCAGGTAAACAAAGCTACCCACTATCTACAACATTTCGGGTTGTTTTAGGCACGTACCAGCTCTGACATAGTACCAGTCAGGATCATAAGGAGCAAGCTCCTTAAATCGAGCAGTTTTCACAATATCAGTCCAGGGTGGAAGCTCAATCTGTTTCCAAGCACAAGGAATGAACACACCACATGTTACCAAAACATCATAACCCAACACACTCAACAGTAGACATTAATTATATAGTTGCATCCTAATGATAGCTATGAAACACAGCAACATCAAAAAAATTTTATAGCATCAGTATCAACTAAACGAAAGCACAGCAATTTCCCTCAAATATTCATGATGCAGGGAGCGAGAGGAAACAAGAATTAATCAAAATCAGATTTATAAGCAACATGGAGTTTAACGAGATCAGACAAAACAAAATAAATCAAAGATACAATTTTCTAAGAGCAGGAAAACAAAAGAAACAGACTTGCTTTCGTTCTCCCTTATTTTCCATCGTTTTCTCAGAAACCAAACAGAACTCGAAGAAATAAAAGAGTACCTTTCCAGATCGCTTGAGATGAGCTGCGTAAGCCTTCACGAACTCGTGAGGCGAGACGTCCTTCACAGTCCTTGAAGTCGCCATTGTCGTCTCTGAAGGGAAGCAGCAGAGATCAGAAGAAAGCAAGTAAGGCAAAACCGCTAAAGATGGCTGCCCCTTCTCCTCTCAGCCCCCTCTCTGCTTTCTTTTTGCGTTTATAAGTGGGAGCCCTAGGGTTTTCAGATTCGGGCTTTTGCCTGGATCGGATTTGAATACCGATTCTTACTAGGTCCAATGGACCAATGGACCAATGGCCCAATAATCCTTGGGCTTTTGACTGGATATTTCTATCTTGATCCAATACCTACTTTTGCGGTGTACCCAACTCTTATAAAAAAAAAATGTATAAGTTCTAACAAAATAATAATAATAATAATTTTAAATTAAAACATTTTATTTAATTAAAATTTTATTCAAAATTTTATTTTATTAAATATTAATATTTAGATTTAAAAAGTGATTGAATTTTTAAATTTTAAATTACGATTTTAATTTATAAATATAAGGTGAGATTTTATTTTTTTTAGTTAAAATTGAGACGTACTAATCTTATATTTTATTTGATAAGAAATTGATATAAGAAAAATGGATAGAGAGATGCTAAGTGAGTCTCACGTTAAGAAATTTATGGAAAAGGTTTTTTCCTTTAAAAATGAGATTTTTTTTTTTTTTATAAAGAACAATACAAGTGGAGGGTGTAATTAATTCATTTTCTTTGTAATAATTAGTATTGAAAAAGAAAAGTTGGCTTTCATTTAATCAATCATTTAATTAAAATAATTCACATGACATTAGTAATAAAATTAAAGTGAAGTTTTGTTTTTATATAATTTAATAT